AATACCACAGCAGACTGTAATAGCATACAGTCATGTTCTGGCATATTATGTATCATATGGAGCCGCAGAACAAGAGATACCATAATAGCTTTGGCCAGCTGACAACCTCCAATACAATGGCTGCAAATTGCTGATTGTTGTCACATAAATTATTTTCACATTCATAACATAAATAGGGGAGGGTGTGTACAAGGAGAGTAAATTTGATGTCTTGAGTCATTATTATTTTTGTAATTTGTAATAATGAATCTCTGGATTGTTGGGAGTGCAAATGAGCTCTTAATTTAGAGACTAAACATGAACATGCATTTTAATGACATCATTTGCATACATTAAGGCGGTAAATGTGGCATCCTGACATATTGGAGTGCTCAGGATTAATTGCTCGGTTGACCTGCTAAACAGAGCAGTTTAACAGTGTATTGTCACTCACTTATCCTTTCTGCCTGTCTTGATTAGTAACCTTTAACCGGTCGGGAGATCCGTCTGAGTTATTCTGTAGGGAGGTTTTGCTCAAAATCTGCTGCGCTGGCTGCTTGAATACAATGAAATAGTATTCCTTAGACATAGGCAGTAAATAAAGAATAACACAGATGTGTCTTATTCATTGCTGTTGGAGATTCTCAACTAATCAGATTCAAAAGGGGATTCAATACATATAATTTAAATCAGTGGTTCACAACCCAGGGGTCACGACCCCCACTAAGGGTCACTAAAGATTTATGAGGGGTTGCCAAGTTTATAAACAGTTTGAGGGTTACAAGTAGGGATTAAATGGTTACCGCTTTGATGATAAACTGTGATAAAATTACCAATAGTTAGCATTATAGTTTCATATTTTAATTATCATTAAAACCATATTTGATTATGATTTGAAAACCCCATGGTAAATACTATCCATTAAAGTTAGCAACAGTGTCATGCACTTTAAAGATTTGAATATTTTAGGTTTTAGTGTTTTGGTTATACTAGAACAAGACAGATCATGGGGCATTTTTAATCATTAAAAATAAATAATGGTGAAACCAAAGCTATTGAATAAATATCCCTAGGTTCTGGCAATATCATATGAAGAAATATCCTAAACTGCTAGAAGCTTAGAAATATGCAATATTTCACATAGTCGAATGGAAATGGAAATGCTTGCTATTATCAGCTTTTGAACATGCATTTTATGAGCATGTAATTATATTTCATAAAGTGAGATTTTTCTTCAGAATTTCATAATCCCTGTGAACTGAATAAATTAAGTCTAGGTTTCTATAAATGAAGTAACATAACCAAGTATATATGGTATATTCAACATTATTTCACATGAAATTTTACAACAAAATGTGTTTTAACACATGCCTGTAGTTAAGTGGATTTGTTTTATTTATTTGTAAATCTGTCCTTTCTTGCAGCATACATTCAAGAATATGTATTTTGTATTGTATTTTTTAGTTTCTCTTTACCATTGTTCACTTTTGCTTTCTCACTGTCACTGTTCTCTTTGCTCGCTGGTTGTAAAACTGCTTTGAAACAATATTTATAATATAATAATTTGATTAGGATTTAGGTCGTAGCCTATCCAATTATTTATTTTCGAGAACAACAACTTGTCTTAATAGCATGCTTAATATTTTTGGAGCTTTATACATAAAAATATGTAACAGCTGCTATTTTAACAAGGTTTGTCTAACAAAGGGATCATCATGCTTGGGATTTCTTGACTTTAAAAACCCCTGACTGAGAGGACTTATATGTTGAAATGATGTGACGCTCGTGTTCGTGATGATGTAATTAGCGCCGACTTCACGTTTTGAAGATGGCAGCCGCCATAAACGCACCGACACCTGAGATCGGGACAACGAATCAGACCGATGATGAACATGACAAAAAATGTATTTTCTGAAAAATCGTGAAGGGAGAAATGGGAACTGAGCTCCTGCATGACGGGAGTTTGCTGTCAGTGTTTTATTTAAGATATCATAAACTCATGCAGATGCGCTAATGATGATGAGGCTAAAGACCACAATACAATACATGATTCATGAAATGGTATAGAAGCGTATCAATAATAGACTGACGTGTCATAAAATACTAACTTGCATTTTTTTTCCTTTGCAAAATGTCATCAATCCGTCATGAAATGTCATTTTATAAAAGGTAATGTGATATTTGTTCAGCCATCGTCGTCATGAAGAAAGTAGCCTAAGAAATAAAGAGTTATAGGCTATGTATTTTAACATAATCATTTTTATTTTGTAAATTAATTAGAATTTATTATGTTTTACAATAGGAACAATAACTCTTCATGTTGATTAAGTCACATTAATTATTGCACAGTTTGCAATGTATTTAATCACATTTTAATACACGAGAAGTAGTAAAAAAGTGCTGTCAAATTACGAAAAAGTAAAAAAAAAAGACTAAATTAAGCACAGTGTAAAAGCACAAATGTAACACAAATTAATTAAAATAAATGTAATGGTTTTATTATTATATTTTATATTAATTAAAAGCCTGTTTTTCAGGATGAAACTGTGTCCCGTTTCAGAGATATACACCCTGGAGCTCCTCATCACTATCTGGTTGTACCAAGAAAACGTGGGCAATTGTAAATCTCTCGGCAAAGAGCATGTACCATTAGGTAAACACGCTGTGAGTTATTCGAGACTGGTGTTAATGTTTAGACATTTCTGACAGTAGCTACTCTGGAGCCTTTCTACAGTAACAATCTGAAATAATGAGTCAGATTTAATGTGTACAAGTCAGACTTCCCAGCCTAGTTACACATAGCATGCTTTACTAAGCAGACTTGCTGGTGAAGTCGTGGCCTAATGGTTAGCGAGTTGGACTCGTAACCCAAAGGTTGTGGGTTCGAGTCTCATACTGGCAGGGATTGTAGGTGGGGGGTACAGCACTCTCTCCCACCTTCAATACCACGACTGAGGTGCCCTTGAGCAAGGCACCGAACCCCCAACTGCTCCCTGGGCACCGAAGCATGAATGGCTGCCCACTGCTCCGGGTGTGTGTTCACGGTGTGTGTGTTCACTGCTGTGTGAGTGCTTGGATGGGATAAATGCAGAGCACTAATTCCTAGTATGGGTCACCATACTTGGCCACGTCACTTCACTCACTCACTCATTTGTGCAAATTCTGTTTTTGTGTTTTTTAGTGGAGAAGTTGGTGGAAACCGGGAAAGAGATACTTCAGAAAAACAATGTGACTGATTTAAATGATGTTAGGTAATGGAAAACATCTGCCACTTATACGAAAATCAAGTCCTTATTTATTGAGCATATAAAACAACATGAATTATGTTTTGACAATAGCATATCTATTGTCTTACCTAGGTTTGGGTTTCACTGGCCTCCATTCTGTTCTGTCACACATCCGCATCTCCATGTTCTCGCACCCGTCAGTCAGATGGGCTTCATGTCCTGCGTGGTCTACAGGTTAAACCCATATTGGTTCATTACGGAAAGCAATCAAAAGAACCGATCAACAATACAATCCACTATTCACTATAATTTAGTTCACAACTAAATTACATCCACTAAAACTAATAATCATATTCCCTTGGAGCAGGTTATTGATGCATTAACAAACAAGATGTTTTCTGAGCGTAGCAAGACATTGCTGTTTCTTACGTCTGTTGAATGAGGCCTTTTGTCATGTAATTGGAACAAGCAAATTGTATTAAATTGAAACAAGCCACAGTGGCAGGAGAATGAAAACCTTTTTGTTTTTGACAGCTCAAATGGATCTCTCAAATGGAGAAATGTCGCAGTCTAACCAATTCTACTACTATAAAATGTTTTCTTTACATGTTAAATCATAGGATTTTTGACTTACCCTTGCTTTGGAGTGTGCAAATGCATTGCTAACCCTTGTACGTCTTCATTTTGCAGGCGGACCAGTTACTTCAAAGGCTGAGCTCTGTATGAGCTAAATGTACAGGAAGTTAGAGGAACTCAAAATACGTTAGTGTTTGAGATGCCCAGAGCAACGTTACTCATAATAGCAGTCCTAGTCAATCTGTTTGTGATGACAAAAGGTCACAGATATGTGCCTCGGGGTTATAATACTCATAATGCTATGTTTTCTGTTAGTTATATTGTCAGCCAGACGGGCTAATCAAATTTGAAGCTACGATAAACTGCAGCTGCTTTTCAATTGCTTTAGGGGAAAAAGCACGCAAAATGGTAATGCAAAATATTGATACATTTGACAGAATCATTAAACTTTTACAGAGAACAGTTGGTATACTTCCAGTTTTACTGAAGTAATATGATTTTAAGGATACAGAGCTGTGACAAAGACTTTTTAAATATGAATGAGCTAAAAATGGTAATTAATCTCAATAATTAGCTTTGGCCTTTAACCTCACACGAATGGGTCATATCTATAGCTAAATGATTTTGGCATCAGAATATGGCAGTGTTTTTGTAATTCTGTACAATCAGTGATGTTGCAAGAACAGTTCTGTTTTTCTTCCTTCATATGACACTAAGTGAAAAGTTTTAACTCTGTTTATGCCATGACATAGATTTTACTATATTGTGTCAGATGTATTTAATTATTAAATGATGTAAGCTCGTAATTGCACTGTATATGCATAAGCATGTAAACAAAATAAATAATAACCTGCATATGTTTTGTCTGCTTTTTAATAGTTGTTGTGCTTCAAAAACAAATCACATGATCATCACTATAAATATATTTTTATATTAATTATATTTATAATAAATTCAATGCAACTCCATACGTAATATATATATACATATACACACACACACACACTACCGGTCAAAAGTTTGGGATCTGTAAGATTTTTAATATTTAAAAAAAAGTTTCTTATGCTCATCAAGGCTGCATTTATTTGAAGAAAAATACAGAAAAAACAGTAATATTGCAAAATGTTATTATAATATAAAAGAATGGTTTCTATTTTAATATACTTTAAAACATAATTTATTCCTGTGATGCAAAGCTGAATTTTCAGCATCATTACTCTAGTCTAAAGTGTCACATGATACTTCAGAAATCATTCTAATATGCTGATTTATTATTTGAATGATCTATGTTGGCAACAGTTGTGCTGTCAAATAATTTTTTGGAAACCGCTGTACTTTTTTCAGGATTTTTTGATGAATAAAATGTTAAAAAGAACAGCATTTATTCTAAATATTCTTTAAAAAAATTCTAACAATATAAATCTTTGCTATCACTTCTTATCAATTTAAGACATCCTTGCTGAATTAAAGTTTTAATTTCTTTCAAAAAAAGAAAGAATAAAAATGACCCCAAACTTTTGAACGGTAGTATATTTTGTTAAAAAATATTTATATTTTAAATAAATGCTCTTCTTTTTTAACTTTTTATTCATCAAAGAATCCTGACAAAAGTATCACAGGTTCCCCAAAAAAATGAGCAGCACAACTGTTTCCAACACTGAGCTTTGATCAAAGCAATAAATAATATTTTGAAGTATATTAAAATAGAAACCCATTATTTTAAATTTGAATGATTCACAATATTTCAGTTTTTCCCTTTATTTTTGATCATATAAATGCTGGCTTGATAAGCAAGAGACATTAAAACATTTTAAAAACATTCCGCTAGTGTGTGTGTATATATATATATATATATATATATATATATATATATAACCTTTTTGAAAGATTTCAATAGTAAAACATTGTGTGCCTTAATACGATGCATCAAAGTGATGGCATATTAATGTGATAATGGTTTGAGAATATGACTTGTCAACACTATAATGTTATTGTAGGTGATCAAGCATTCACTTAAAGGTGAATGCTTGATCATTTTTTATCCTATCACAGATCATTGTGCAGTGTTATCCAGAAAGTCATTTGTAGGTTGCCCTGCTGGAAAAAAAAAAAACCTGCTTAAAGCAATAGTTCACCACAAATGTAAAGTATATAGATAGATATATACAGAATATACCAGTTTGCTACATTTGAATTTAATGCAATCAGTTTAAATCTCAATAGAAACAGTTTATTTGGCAGAGAAACTGACTTCTAACCCATGTGCAAGTAAAATGGATGTCTATAAACTAAAGCAATGTTGAACAGGCACATGGTGTTCATCACTGCTGTAAATCACTCTAACAAGGTGATGAGCACTCCGTCATCTCTCCCCTGCCACAGCATCTCTCCTTCAAAGTGCACCAGCCCTTGCTTGCGTGCTCGCAGCAGAACTCCCACTAGTTTATTAGAGATGGTGACGTATCTTTCAAACAGTGTCCCGAACCGCACAGCCGGCCTGCCATCGTCTCCACTCTCTCCGCTCTCCATAATGACCTGGCAGAGCTCTGTGACCTCTCTGCTGATGTGAGAGTGGGCGTCTTTTCCTCTCTGCTCTGTTTTGGAGCCCTCTAAAGGCCTGCCGTAGCCCTCCTGTCCTCGTTGTATCTGTGGGGGAATCACCTTGCTGTTGCTGAAAGGATTGTGTTTCTGATTCTCGCAGTGGTCGTTGGACCATTTCTGCCAGTTCTCTGTCAGACCTTTGACGGATACAGTGCAGGTCTCCACGCAGTCGTCATTGGGCTGCGCAGGTGCATCGTCTGTCTCCATGGTGACCTTTGGCTCACAGGACGCCTCTAGTTTTCAGCAGGCTTCACTGTTGGCACAACACAGGCTGTGTGGAATAATTTCTGAAGGATCATGTGACACTGAAGACTGGAGTAATGATGCTGAAAATTCAGCTTTGCATGACAGTAATAAGTTAGATTTTAAAGTATATTAAATTAGAACATTTTACATCATAATGATATTTCACAATATTACATTTTTTTCTGTATTTTTGATCAAATAAACACAGCCTTGAAGCACTCCGTCATCTCTCCCCTGCCACAGCATCTCTCCTTCAAAGTGCACCAGCCCTTGCTTGCGTGCTCGCAGCAGAACTCCCACTAGTTTATTAGAGATGGTGACGTATCTTTCAAACAGTGTCCCGAACCGCACAGCCGGCCTGCCATCGTCTCCACTCTCTCCGCTCTCCATAATGACCTGGCAGAGCTCTGTGACCTCTCTGCTGATGTGAGAGTGGGCGTCTTTTCCTCTCTGCTCTGTTTTGGAGCCCTCTAAAGGCCTGCCGTAGCCCTCCTGTCCTCGTTGTATCTGTGGGGGAATCACCTTGCTGTTGCTGAAAGGATTGTGTTTCTGATTCTCGCAGTGGTCGTTGGACCATTTCTGCCAGTTCTCTGTCAGACCTTTGACGGATACAGTGCAGGTCTCCACGCAGTCGTCATTGGGCTGCGCAGGTGCATCGTCTGTCTCCATGGTGACCTTTGGCTCACAGGACGCCTCTAGTTTTCAGCAGGCTTCACTGTTGGCACAACACAGGCTGTGAGTGAGAAGATTGCATGTCGTACAGCCTTTAAATAACTTAAAGCTTCATGAAGTCTACAAGTAAGACTGACCCGATGTAATCAATACTAATCTGGGCACTTAAGCTGAACTATGTCATATAGATATATTAATATATACAAATTAAATGCTGATATCACACTTTTTTTTTTAGAAAGAACCACACAAGTTACTAATTCATTTTCAATTCTAGGAAAAATATTCCAGGACAGAGTAAATATTGTTAACTAAATCTAAAACTATTAAAAACATTTTTGTTAACTGAAATAAAATAAAATAAAATATAAATGTTAGATGAAAAACTAAACGAATTTTGCTAACTGAAGTAAGTTTAAGTTGAAGCAAATATACAACAATACCATATATGAAACTGTAAGATTATTAGAGTAGAGACAATCTGTGACAGCTTAGTTTAACAATGCAATCAACTTTACAAAGATTTATTTGACATCGAAATGTATGCATCACACGTTAGGTGTATTGTAAAAAAACCTTACCGCCCTTGTTTGGCTTCTTGAGGATGGTTGTCATGCTGTGGAAGTGGATACGTTACAAGTTCAGCAGCAGATACTTTTCTGACCTCTGGTGAGAGTGATTGACGTGTAAACCAACCAATGAGAACACGAGAAACATGTCACTGTACGAGATGATGAACCAATGATAGAGAAGATTTTATCCTCTTAAGAAGTTAATGAGCGTGTAGATAAGATTAAAAGATATCATCAGGTGACACTAAATCTTTTCCATTTTCAAAAAGAACTATATACATGAAGTCATAAGAAAAAAAAAATCACTCGGCTTTCACGAACAGACAATTGTTTCGACCACAAAGGCAATTTACTTAATTTTACTCATGGGTATGAGTTACAGTAGTTAAAACAGGCGATGAAAAGTACAAAGTCTAATCCTTTTACAAGACTTTCGCTTAGGCGATTTACGTCCGGGGATGCCAAATAGGAACTGTTGTTACGAGCACAATTTACTCATCGGATGATGTTGAATGTAGCACACAAGCATGGCTCTCCACTGTGGTCGGGCGTGCAGACAATATTTACTTCATCTTGCACATGATAATGTCGATTTTAGATTACCGGTACAAACTGTAAACTTTCAGTTCACTCAGACCTTTGTGTCAAAATGCTAGAATTAAACTGTCAGAGTGTATTTTGTATTAGAGAGCTCATTACTCGCAGTTCAGTTCAGTATTGTAGAGTTAAATATTTTAATTTAAATATAAGCTCGAACTGTATTGGGTAGATATTCATATATCACAATTTGAATTATTGTTTACAGGAAATAAAAGCATTGCTGTCTCTAAGGAACCGTCCATTTGATACATCGGAAACATTCAACGAAAAGGTGATCCCAAATTGTTTTTCACATGACATAAGTTAATTGTTAATGTTATGTTATTTATTTTCTAACAACTCTTACTCTTTCCTCATAAGTCTCCCTTTTGGCAACTAAATGGCTTATCGGAAGATGATATACGGAGTGTCATGTCCAGAACGGTTTGTGGAAAGTAGGTTGTGGTATTTTTTTACACTTACATTACATGTAACTTATAATGCTAAGGATGACAAACTTTTATAAATACTAATCTAATTGCATTTACAAGGCGACATTTATTAACCGAAATCATGAATTACTTTGCATATTATATTAGGGTGACCATACGTGCCATTTTCCCAGGACGCGTCCTGGCCAGGATTTCTATATTGCCTACAATATCTAGGTTTTGGCTTTGTTTGCGTGTGCAGACCGATCGGTGTATGACATCAAAGTACCTCGAGAGCATTTTGAAAGCATAAGGAACCGTCTGTATGGTATTTTGATGTCAAACACCGATCGGTCTGCACACGCAAACAAAGCCAAAACCTAGATATTTTAGGCAATATAGAAATCCTGGCCAGGACGCGTCCTGGGAAAATGGCATGTATGGTCACTCTATATTATATGATTCTGTGACCCTTTGACCAATTAAGACTCATGATGGCTTAAGACCAATGTGTGAATATTGCATGGGTGAAAACATGGGTGTCTTCATTATGACTTAATAACGAACAGTTTACAAGGTTTTTATTCACATTAATTAACTACATTAACATGAACTAACAATGATCAATATGCCTTTATCATTTTTTTTATCTTGATGTTAATTTCAGTGTTTACTTAAACATTGTTAAAGGGGTCATATGATGCTATTTTAAAGATCATTATTTTGTGTATTTGGTGTAACAGAATATGT